GGTTAATACTTAAGACAGAGTTAGCCGATAAGAAAAAAGTAACTGGCCAACAACATTTATATCTAATATAATGTCTCTGTGTATTATTTGGGGCTGGCATGGCGGTGGGACCAGCGGTAGGGAAAAACCTTACTCCTAACACACCTAGCTTCTCACAGCACTGACATATGCAGTGGCTTTCCACACATCAGGACATAGAGGTACTAAAGGTCCATATCTGAGTTCATAAAGGTGGGAATTCTGCAGATCTTCCTTCTCTCTCTCTCTCTCTCTCTCTCTCTCTCTCTCTCTCTCACCATTCCTTTCCTTTCTATCTTTCTTTTTTGGGGGTGGGGGTGTTTTTCTGTAACTCTGGAGCCTGTCCTAAAACTCATTTTGTAGACTAGGCTGGCCTGGAAGTCACAGATCACCTGCCTCTGCCTCCCTAGTGCTGGGATTATAGTCGGGAACCTCCACCTGGCTCAGCTGCCCGGTAACTTAAAAGTATTGACTTATATTGTATTTATGTTAGTACATGAGTGTCTGAATGTGTATCAAGTATAGGCAAATGTCTACAGAAGACCAGAAGAGGGTTTACATGGAGAACATAATGATTTTGAGAATAGGTGGTTCAAGTATTTTATTCCATCCATTTCATGTTTAATAATAATGGTAATGAAGAAATAACTATAATGCATGTAGCAGAACAGTCAGCTCAAACATGGATAACTTAATTCAAAGATCACTTCACTCTTTATCTTTCAGGGAAAATCATGGGGTGAATCAAAAGTCGTAGTCTGTTTTCTGATCTGACAATAAAATTTAATATTTCATTTTGGAAATATGTATATATTCTATACATTAATTAATGTATTTCTTTAAAGTGAGACAAATCATAAAAGTAAAGACAACTGTCAAGATTCGGTATAAAATACATATTTGAGCTGACACTTTAGTTCATATTGATTAATAAAATTTCAAACCCCTGTTGATTATAATGTGCAGAAATCTTTCATTCATGTTAGTATATGTGCTGTTTAGTTTTTTTTAATTTATTATTTTACATGTCGATCCCAGTTTCCCCTCCCTCCCTCTTATCCTCTCTGCCCCCTCACATGCGCCCTGACCACCATTTCCTCCCATCCCCCCATCCCAATTCCACATGTAGGGCAATGTCATCCATGTGGGGTCATGTTAATCTGTCAAGTCATTTGAAGTAGGGAATAGGACTTCTCTCCTGTCTCTAGGTTAAGGCAGTTATCCCTCCATGGGGGATGTGTCCACAAGGTCTATTTGTGCATCAGGAATACATCCTGGTTCCACTGTCTGAGGTCCCTTTTAACAGTCATCTCAATACAATCTAGAATCACATGGAGGGACTGCACATATTCGATTGATCTCTGGGCATGTCCTTGGGCATTTTCTTGGTCACCCAGCCTGTTGTGACTGGTACCGCTCCCTGGCCAGGAGACTGAACTACCTAAGAGTAAAGCTAGCTTAGTATTAAGTAAACTCAGAAGCAAGCAGGCGGGCAGAGTTAGGGCACTGACACCCCCACACATACACTTAGTTCCCCCAATCTCCTCAACCCACCTCATCCCACCCTTTACCCTGCTCTTGACAGAGTACATTTTGAGACTAGATGCTAGACTTCCTGTCGTGGTTTCTCTGCAGTGATATATTGTGGTGTGGTATTGTGAGGTAAAATAATCCCTTTATTCCTTAAATTGTTGGCCTGAATATTTTTTTCACACCAACAGAAATGAATCTAGGACAGAATCCAACCAGACTTTGTAACAGAAATATTTGAAATATATGTGGGTTTGAATGAGACTTCTCATGTGTCACATACTGAAGTCTGGACAAGCATATTTTAGAAAGAAAACCAAATGTTCAGAGCCCTGAAGGCAGTCTTCATGGCGGAGTCATAAAAAGGACAGAGTAGAAATCAGGAGGCAATGTCCTCATCCTGAGTGTTTGCTCAAACCTATTCAGTGAAAGGTGAACAACAGAGGAGATTCTCTTAGAAGGAGTAGTCATCCTAAAAAACGGCAACTATTGTCAAGAGAATGGCCCTGCATGAGTTACAATTTAAAGATTGGCACAAATTCAGTTTAATAAAAGGGTGACCCACTTGCCGAGTTGAGAAGTCTTTCAAAGGCCAGGCCATATTTCATTCCTGTTCCACCAAGACTTTTACAAGCAGCAAAAGAAGCCAAGAAGGTTTGAAAATGTAACAGAAAATGGCATTCTTGGTGTCTATTAAAAAAGAAAAGGGCACATGTTAAAAATAGTTTCTCGTCCTAACTTAACCATATTACAGGCCCTTCCTGATACAATATTTGTTTGAGATAAACACCATTATGGCTAGACCAATTGTAAGAGGCTATTATTTCTTTCACTTTCTTAACAATACATACGTTCTTTAGTTACATGGATTTCACTGGGCAGTGACTAAATATAGATGAGATGATTAAGTAGTTAATCATAATAATAATATTTATAAACTTGATTTCATTGTGTTGGCTCATTCTTCTCACTGGTTCACAAGAATGTAAAAGCAATGACTAATTCAATGTTTTGTTGAGTTAGCTTGAGACACATAAGAAAGTGAAATAATCTTCCCTCTCTGTGTCAGAACTTTCCCACTCCCAGAGTAGTTTTATTAAAATTTATGCTGTGCACAATAATTGACCTAGTTTTTAAAAGTTAGTTATTAAGTAATGCTGAAATAGGATTCAAAATAACTACTTTGATTCATGTGTCTGGTTTTATGTTTATTGTTATATTTAGATATTCCCTGCTTTGCACATCCTCAGTCATAATATTTGCTACCATGTATTAACCATGTACTAACTGGGTCCAGCATCAGTATCTTGGATAAAACTACTTTAAATAAATAATTCCAACTTAAAGATTTATATGAAATTGAGACATAATCTGACCATTTTGATACTTGTAATAATAATTACATAATCCACTGCCCATTTTCTCATTTTTCCTACATGCGTATGGTTGACCTAAGGATGAAATTAAACCAGCTGTCTGGGAAATGGCTTGGATTGCCTTCTATGCCTGTTCATCTGTCTCTGGCTCCTCTTTCAGTGCAGACATATATGCATTTGCTATGGTCTCTCTTCTTCACAAGACTATGCTTCAAAGGACTGAGAACTGTGTCTTGGTTGACTGCTGTCTCACCTTCAAGATATTAGTACAGAGAAAGCAACAAAAGAAAATCTACTGTTTGTCAAATAAATACATGAGAATATGCAAATCTATGCTTATTTTTAGGTGTGTGTATGCGTGTGTGTGTGTGTGTGCGCGCGCGCGCACGCATGCACACGCATAGCTGCACATCTTGGGATCTTGGGTTCTCACACAGAGTCTCTGCAGAATCACGAACTTTCTCTTTAGACTAGATGGGACCTGTTGGTCTCTGCCTTCCGCAGCACTGTGCTTCAAATGTGTACAACAGTCCTAGGCTTTTGCGTAAGTGCTCAGGTCTGAACCCAGGTCTCTACACACTTTATTGATGGTACCATCTCCTGCAAACTTACTTTTTATGTTTCTTTTAGGAGCAGATTGTATTTTGAAACAAATAATCAGATTTTTTTCCCCTCAAAGGTTTTCTAACTTTTTGATTGTAGCCCACAGAAATACTGTGTACATTGCCATGCATGAGGCCCTAAGGTGATGATATCCATGAAGCAAGAGTGTCTTTAATGAACTCGATAGTGCGCTTTCTTAGCTACTGTGTTCTTTTACTCACTTATGAAAAACAGTGCTGGTATTGAAATGAAGTAGTCCACATCATTATCCTCTTTAGTGTCAGAGGGTAGAGTAACTTGTGAAGTCTGCATTTTCATAAACGCCCTCTCTCTCTCTCAGCTCGTCTAGTGAATAGCTATCAGGTATGTCCTATATCGCAGACTTTCACCTACAAGAGCTCTGGACTTCTATTTCTTAGATGTCCCCAGTAAACAGTTGAGTAAATATGTGTTTAGATTTAGATGCAGCTACAAACAATTATCATAATCTGAAATGATTTCATCTAACCCTTGACACAGTCAAACAAACTAAGAACTGCCACTTGCACGTGTATGTAACAAGAAAAGAGGTTGTGGGAGGGGATCTGGTACTTCCTTGCTTCTGTTAGTCCTGCTGGTTCTTGGCCTTTGCCCAAATATTTCTTCATTCCGTGTATCGCATGTACATATTTTCAATCTAGAAAGCATGGCATTCTCAGCCTTGTGTTTTGTCCACTATACAGCTCAGTATGGCCTTGAACCCCTGCTCCTCCTGTCCACCTACTGAGATCACAGGCATGCACCAGCCCACCTGACTAATTTATTTATGTAGCCATTCGTTTTCTGGTTTTGTTTGAAACAAGTCACACCATGTAGCTCTAGTTGACGTGGAAAAGGGTTCTGTAGAGCCAGCGGGCCTCCAATTGCCGGCAGCCCCTTTTGTCTCAGGTGTGCAAACACTCCTGTTTTTGCCCTGATGATGATGCTGTAACTGTGCAGAAGGTAGAATCAATCACAGAAACATGTGTGCCTAGCAAAGCTGGCTAGCCTAGCTTATCATTGGGTATCACCTGTGAATCAACTCAGCTCTTCCTGACTCAGGGCAAACCCAGCAGGAGCTTCTTGTAATTGCATCTCCCATTGAGAGCACAGTGGAGTCTCCACTCAGTGGTACTACAAACACTTCCACTCTATCCCATCCCCCAGGCCCCACCATCACCAAGGCCAGCACCTTTGCCTACTGCCTGGTAGGAGAACTTAGCACTCACTTCTAGAGAAGTTCTATACTCACCCCACGCCTCCCGCCCTCCTACAAAACCTTGGGAGATGGGAAGGGTCTGGCCGACCTTCAAACTGGGCATGCTCACTGGCAGAGCAGCTTTGGTTGGGACTTCCAGCCAGGATTCTGGGATCGCTGCTCCAGCTCCACTGCAGAGCCTCTGAGCTCTAAGAGGCCCAGACGCAGCGCCGCCCGCTGTAGCTTGTGCTGCAGCCGCTGGCCACCGGAGGGGGGCGAACCCACGTCAACCTGTTGTTTGTCCCTTCCCCATTGATCTAGTCAGCGCCACAAGGAAGTGCGGCACCCACACGCGCTTGGAAAGTTCAGCATGCAGGAAGTTTGGGAAGAGCTGGGCGAGTAGCTGGACGGCCCAGGCAGCACAGGGCAGCGCAGACAGAGAAGGCGCGGGTCAGCGCAGCAGAGGTCCACCGGCCCAACCCGGTGGGCTTTATTTATTTATATATTTATTCTGGAACGACGGCTGTCCCTAGGTCGCTGGTCCCAAATGCACCGACTCATCTTCATCTCCATTCTTGTGTGCGCGAACTTTTGCAGCTATCGGGACACTTTTGCGACTCCGCAGAGCGCATCCATCAAAGCTTTGCGCAATGCCAACCTCCGGAGAGACGGTAAGAGACTCATTGATTTGTGTTCTTCGTTGACAAGGTCACTTTTATTGTAGTCGGGTTCTTTGGGCCATTCACCCTGCTCCCAGCCCCTTCGTTCTTAAAAGTTTCAAAGGAACTCAGACTGAAGGCATTGTATGGGGGATGGATTCTCCTGCTTCACCCCCATCTAAGGCAGCCCCTCCTTCCAGAACTGTTCTGAAGAGTGTGAAGTGTCTTGAGTGCCACTGGAGGCAGTATGATGTGTCAAGTGTGTTTCCCCCCTGCACCTGAGAAGTCATGTCAGTAGGTGTGCGTCCTGGGGTAGTTGATACATACATACCTACATGTGGATGACTCCTTCCAGAGTTGCAAAGCTGCACACTGTGCCCACTTTGGGTCAGGCTATTCTGACCCTAGTAAAGCAGGCATTGTGGTAGATGGTGGAATCCAGTGGCCTTTACTGGATGACATAATTCTTATTTACTTATTTTAGTGAGGAGGGTAGAAATGACACGTTTCAGCATTGTGGTTATTTCTGTGGCGAACTGGCAATTTATGTCATTTATTTTTAAGAGAAGATCCTGTTGCCCCTCCGACCCTCATGTGATTTTCTCTTGGAGTTCAGAGGCTCAGAAACTCAAGAGTCTGGGAGGCGGGGCTGCTGGAATTTCCTTGTACCGCAGGGGACCTGGTTTCCTTTGTGCTGAGGCTTTCCAAGCTCCTGAAATGGCTGTCCTAAGCAAGGTCCTGAGCACACTGCTTGTTTTCCTGTTCTGTAGAAGACACATGGGTCACTGGGTCCCTGAAACTCCAAGTAGAGTTTGGTTTCCTCTTGGGCTTAGGTCTTTAGCTGGGACTTATGCCTCAGCATGGTACAGTTCTTGCCAGGGGTATACAGAATGGCCCAAGCCTTTATTGCTTTGTTTTCCTACGTGAATTTCATTCGCTTTTACTTGCTTAAAGTGCCAGCACTTTCTCCCTGTAGTCGTCCTGCCCCCAAACACCAAGGACATCACCAAGCTGTTCTTAGTGGCTCCAGTGTTTGCTCTGGCAACATCGACCCATCTTGGTAGTAGTAGACACCTTCATCACTTACAAATGTCTTACTTACTTGATATGTCCTATATTCAGACTTGAAAACTCTGAGAATTGGAGTGGAAAAATACTGTCCTTTTTATGACATACTCATACTTAGTGGCAGTATCTTCGATTTATCTGAAGTGTTAAGGAGCAATCCTGGCAACGTAGACTGGGGAAAGCTCTGTCTTTATTTCAAAGTGGAAGGCAAGGGCCAAGGTTGTGCCTGTGAAGAAGCAAATACCAAGGCTGTCCTGACCTCCACGTGAGTGCAGTGGCATGTGTGTCATAAGTCACACGAATGAACACAATAACATTTCCAACTAAACCTTCCACAAAGCTGATTAACTGATGAGAACTCTAATAATTGTGGAGAAGTCCAAATGTTGCAAGTTCAAAGCCCAAACATTGTAATAAACATTAGGCAAGTCATTCACAATTTATAGACACCGGAATCAAGAGACCAAGTGTCATCCCCTTGCATCCATGGCTTTGGAGGTCCATGGAAGAGGTTTCTCTGCTTTGCTCCACCCACCTACCTCCACCAAGGTGTCTTAAAATTGTCTTCATTCATGACCTTCAGTGTTCTGTCATTATGAAAACCTCATGAAACTGCTTCCACACTGGAGTGAGTAATTTGGGGTAATATACACATCTGTTCCTGGGCCATGGTGATGTGGCTCTAGAATATATTCTCTCTTATCTCCTTCCGGTGACAGTTGTGTTTTTTGAAGGATGGAGAGGTACCTGCCTGCTTTGCATTGTAGGATGTCCTGAGATGTCTGCATACTGTGCATTGTAGGATGTCCTAGGACATTTGCATGATGTGCATTGCAGAGTGTTCTGGGGCATCTGATTGCTATGCATTGTAAGATGTTCTGGGGGATCTGGTTGCTTTGCATTGTAGGGAGTCCTGAGGTATCTGGCTGTTGTGCATTCTAGAGTATTCTGGTGTGTCTGGTTGATATGCATTGTAAGGTGTGTTGGGGTGTCTGGTTGCTGTGCATTGTAGTGTTCCTGTGGTACCTACCTGCTGTGCAGTGAAGGTTGCCCTGAGCTAGGTTGTGAGCTTTACTGATTGAAAGTGTTTTTTGTCCAAAGGCTTTTTGTTCCTTTCAGTGACTAAAAATAAAACTGGATTGCTTTAAAACAGTAGGGCCAAACATAGAGCAGATTCCACAGAATCATTGCTCTCTTCTAGACTGTCAGAAGCCTCAGCTTGTGGTCAGGTAGGACTCTGAGGACTTGTGGTCTCCGAACCCTATCATTGTCATTTTGACAGTCTGGAAGGATGCATGTTTTCTGTGTTCCTCCTTGAGAGCTGAGTCATAGGCAAATGCTGTTCCTTCTGAAGCTTGGATCTTCCTTGTTGAATGATCTGATTAGTATTTTAGAGCAACATTTGAGTACCATTTGAAACCCTTTTCTTTGTTAAGATGGGAACACTTGTGAGCCACATGTAACTCATGGACACTGGAATACTCATCTCTTACAAGGATCTGGAAAGTTTTAGGGTAGAAATGAGTTGATGTAAGTTAGGACTCATTCAGTCACCTCTTTTGAAGCAATTCTTTACTTGAGCTCAAGTGTCTTCTGAAGGTGAACATGACACCAACAGTTCTTATCACAAAACCTTAACCAAGCTCTGTGAAACAACTATTTTTTTAATGACTATATTGATTTTTTGTTATCTGCCATATCCTGTGCTGATGCTCAGTTCTCTAGCAGGACATGGATGACACAATCACAATCCCTACTGTCCTGCAGCTTTTGATCTAGCAGAGAATAGAAATGAGTAGTTCCATCTAACTTTCTGGTTCATTTTGGCAAAGCCAAGATTTCAGACCTGCTTTGGATATCATGGAGCACATATTAAGGCTGCTCAACACCCTCCAAGTTTCGATCACTTTGTCAACAGAATAAGCCCACACATTTCCCAATTATTCTTTTTCATATGGTGTGTTTGAGCACAAGGCTTTTAGTTGAGAGAAGTGTATCTTACTGCTAAAGTGTGAAGGGGGAATGCACAGTATGGTGTCCCAGGCACTTTCATGGGGAGCAGTGTGGAAAGTTCTAGAACATTGCAAAGACTTGAGAGACTGAGCAAGGCTTCCTGTCAAGGAGAAGATGAAGAAGAGTGTAGAACTCAGGGACAGTGAGGAAGAGAGTGGAGTTCATCAATGGAAAGAAAGCTCTTCTCAAGGGTTAGAGATGAGAATTTTAAAAACGACACTTATAAATTAAAATAAAGGGCTGGAAAGATGGCTCAGTGAGTAGTGGTGCTTGTCGCACCAGCCTGATTGATCCCTGGAACCTATGGAAAGCTGGAAGGACTGCATAGCCTTCATAAAACTGTCCTCTGACCTGACATACATAGAATGGCATGCATGCACACGCCAAATAAATAAATAAATATAAAAGTAAACTTGCAAGGATGTACATGTCTACTAGCGAAGGACCTGGGAAATATGGGGGAGTTTGGCTGTAATTCTGAGGTTGACCGGGACACCATCAAAGGCTGAACTGATGTGGGGGATGCAGCTCAGATGGCAGAGTGATTACCTGGAAGGCATGAGGAGCTGGGTTCGATGCCCCCACACACCTGTAATCCCAACACTTAAGAGGTAGAGTATGAAGGACCAGAATACGTAGAGAACCAGGGCTAATCTCCAAAAGCATAAATAAAGGAGGGAAAGAATGAAGGGAGAGAAGGGAATTTTAAATGAGAGAGAATCGTGGCTTCTCAGTGTTGACTGCAGAAAAAAGTGTGTCCTAAGGAGTGAGCCAGGACAAGGGTGGGACCAGACTCCTTGTAAACCTATTGCCTGTGTAACATCTACACAGATTGTGTTAGTTCTTTTTCAAGATAATACTAGAAGACATGAGTGACTTCCCTAGTTCAAAATCTCCAGTTACTAGTGCCCAAAGCCACCTGCTATTCTCTATTTCCCTCTAACTCTGTAAGCTTTCCTCTTGCTCAACATGGAAAATATTGTATCCTTAACTCTTTCTGAGGTCTGAACAAGGGAATGTGGAGGGTCAGAAAAACTCGGATAGAGTTTCGTAACACTAAGTCATTTCAGATGCCTGCATTTCAGAATTAAATGCAATTGAAAACCAAATACCATGACCAGGTGGTGTTAGCACAAGCCTTTAATCCAAGCCCTCCGAGGGAGAGGCTGGCATATCTCTGTGAGTTTGAAGCCAGCCTGGTCTACAGAGCTAGTTCCAAACCCTGTCTCAGAAACAACAACAAAACCGCACATACTTTACAATAACTTTTGTGGGTAGGACCATTGCAGCAAAAGCACAAAGGGAATACATATAACAAGACAAAGCATTCAAGACAGATGCTGTAGGAAGAAACTCTCTGTCTCCCTACACAGTATTCCAGGACCAAATAAATGTAAGTCATAAGTAAAGTCCTATGCTCATAGTACACAAACAGGAAGCAGTATGTCCTAGGGAGGGTTTTCTCTAGAACAAGAATGGAGCATTGTTTTGTTTCACCGCAAACACTGATGATACATACCATAATATATCTTCTTTCCCATCTTCACCCCGGGTTACTGACATCTATACAATATCTTTAGAGTGTTCTTTCTTATGATTTGTGACTTCTATGGTTTGTTGACTTTCATATGGGCAGGTGAGAGATTGGTTGAGACATGGTGGCAGAGGAACTTGATTGGCTTTCACCACGGGAGTGACATTTACCTTAGCACTTACTGTCTGGCAGAGTGGATGCGTGAAGAGAGTTTGGGACTCATGTACTGCTGCGCCACATATGATCTGAAATTTTTTACATTTTAGTGTAATCCTAATATGAGCATAATAAAATTTTAATTTATATACATTTAAACTATTGTATTAGCTATTTATTTTTAATTAACAGAAATGTATATATCTGCATGCAACATGATTTGATATATGTTTTTATTGTG